TTTCACTCACTGCTCACTTCATTTTTTGCTGCCTGTTGGTATTGTCAGCAACATAATGACTGAACAATGAATTTTAAATTCTCATGAAGATGGGTTTTGTTTCATTGTTAGAATCAGACAAATCATCATATTTGTGGATAGGAAGGAATGTTCACTAAGGTCAAATTTATTACTTATTACACGCAAGCTGACAAATACCTGTATATTTGTATTTTATTTTAAGAGGACTAGATGTATGTTGTGTTTGCACTGTCTGTTTTTGATAAGGCCAACTGGCTAATCAATAAAATTGTTTGAATATTCATTACATGAATCAAATTGTGATTTAGGCTGATAAAATGGGGATAAAATATATAGATTTTACATTGGAAAAGATGTTTTTCTAGCACTGAAGCCCACTAATTTACTATCACTATGATGAGAAACACTCAAAATTTATCATCCTGTATATTAATAAAGTGTTTCACAAACCTTGTTTACTAATGGGTAATATCTGTGAAATCTGAAATTAAGCAGATACTGGAGTCTCTTGGTATTACATATTCTTAAGCATGTTGTCATTGTGTTCTTTTCATCTCTTGATTGATGCAGTCTTCTTCCAATGTCCTATATCAGCCATTATCATTCCAGAAAGCACAGTGGTAGTTTCTACTGCATCCTGAAGGGCTCAGAGGTTCCCTCTTCCTCCTCCCTTCTCTTCCTCCTCCTCCAATACTTTCCTCCTCTCTCCTGCTCCTATCCCTCCCTCACCACCAAAAGCCTTTTTTCCTCACCTTATTTGCCGCCCAGATCCTTTCTCCCTTGCCTTCCTTGCTTCCCAAATCCTATTTCCCTCCCACTGCTCAGGGAGTGCATGGCAGAGGGGGGTTGGACTGGATGGCCCCTGGGGTGGCTCCTATTATCATTATTATTTTATTGCATGGCAGAAGGGGGTTGTACTGGATGGCCCCTGGGGTTTCTCCTATTACTATTATCACAAAGGCTGGATGGCGATCTATTGGGAGTGCTTTGATTGTGCTTTTCCTGCATGGCAGAATGGGGTTGGACTGGATGGCCCCTGGGGTCTTCCACTGAAATACTGTTAAGTTCATGTTGGTTAAAAAATGTTTGTCCATGCCTGATATAATTCATAAATGTTTCTTGGGGCTCCACAATAAACTTTTGCTTCAAAAAGGACTCAGTGGCTAAAAGAGTCTGAGAACCCCTGCTCTAGTGCCTTACCTGCTATTTGATTAGACTTTCTTTCTCCATTACAGAAACAGTCGTCTTTCTTGTGGTTTTTCAAGGAGCTCTAGTTCAGAAATTCATTATTTGCAGAGTTAAAACCCTTTTGGATGTAGTTTAAAAAGAGTAAAGGTAGGTAGTGATGCTCTAGTATTATAGTTATTCCCTCTACCCACTCCATCTATCTGCAAGAGGGAATTGTGTAAGGAGGTTTCTCTAGATTATTATTATTTGAGTGCTATATTTAGTACTGATCATTAAATAGTTTTTCCTCCTCCTCCTCTCATCTCAAATGGAATTCCACATTAAGATGCAACATGTCTCCCAGCTCAAGTCACTAAGTTTCATAACAAATGTAGGGACTTTTTCAGGATTACTATATGAGGCAGGCAGGCTGGCACTACAGCTGCATCTTCACCTTTGCTGGTGGCCCCTATTGCATTTTACCATGTGCATCCTGCCACCAGTCTTCTTCCTTCCCCTCCCCCACTGACTATTCCTCCTAAGTATTCACAGGTAAAACCTGTGCATAGTTTCCAATCCTGCAAAGTTCCTATCACCTAAGTTGAGGTAACGGGTCCTTTCTGCTTCTGTTCTGTCATTCCCCCTCACTATTCCCAACCTGTCTTCCTTTTAATTCTTATGTTTATGTTTGCCTTTTTTCTGTTTTTAAAAGCTGGAGTTGTATAATTGCACTAAAATAAAAATTAAAAATCAAACAAGAGATTAGTGTGGGAAGGCAGGATTATGAGGGGGTGTGAATTGGCACGATTGTGCTAATGAAGAAAGGTGCAATATCAAGAATGCTCCTACACTACGACTCTGGGGAAATTGTATGTGCTATATCCCCACCATAAGTAACTAAATAATATCCAGTTTGATCAAAAGTTAGCTTGCATGATTTTTGCAACATTCTAATTAAGTATTGTCCTTACAAAAAGACTTTAGTTTTTTTTGTATGCATGGCCTGACATGAATAAGAGACAGTAAAAATGCCCTTTCTGTTGCTGTTGCAGCTCCTTGTCATCACAATTGCCAATTTATTCCTGTCTTATTCATACAAATGTTTCAAAACCTTAGAAACATATTATATGAACTGAGCAACAAATACACAACTACAACTATATTTCAATCAGAGTCACTTAGATTTGTGAAGAAATTCTTCTGAAAACTTTAACTTTTGAAACTTTTGTTTCAATAAGCATGGAAAATTCTGAAATGCTGTCTGCAATAATATATTTGTTTTTATTCAGTGAACCATATATTATAATTCAGTGATGACCTTTTGATGCTTTCTTACTTGCTTACCAACAGTAATTGTTGGGAATAAATGAGAAGGGATCAAAAGATAAAAATTTGTACTATTTCTGGACTTGCTGTGAGTTTTCCAGGCTGTATGGCCATGTTCCAGAAGCATTCTCTCCTGACTTTTCATCCACATTTATAGCAGGCATTCTCAGAAGTGATGAGGTCTATTGGAAACTAGGCAAGTGAAAGTGTATATATCTGTCAAATGTCCAGGGTGGGGGAAAGAACTCTTGTCTGCTTGAGGCAACTGTGAATGTTGTAACTGATACCTTGTTTAGCATTTAATGACCTTGCAGCTTCAAAGCCTGGCTGGTTGCTGCCCGGGGATCCTTTGTTGGGAGGTGTCAGCTGCCCCTGATTGTTTCATGTCAGGGGTTCCACTGTTGTTTGAGTGTCGCTCTTTATTTACTGTCCTGGTTTGAGAGTTTTTTTAAAAAAATACTGGTAGCCTGATTTTATTCATTTTCATAGTTTCCTCCTTTCTGTTGAAATTGTCCACATGCTTGTGGATTTCAGTGGCTTCTCTGGACACAGCATATTATTTGAGAACACAGAAGTGCTGGACCACTCTAAGAACCACCATGTCAGACTACACAGAGAAGCCATTGAAATCCACAAGCACGTGGAACCCCACTGCCAGTGCAGGTGCAACCTATGTGACCTCTCTGCTGGGCCTCCGTGCCGCCATTTTTTACTGTGGTTTTATTGCATGGCAAAAATAGGTCGGACTGGGTGGCCCCTGGAATTGCTCCTGTTGTTGTTGTTGTTATTACTACTACTACTACTACTACTATTATTCTTTCAGGCTGGATAATAATCTGTTGAGGGCGATTTGATTTGTGCTTTTACTGAATGGCAGAAACTGGTTGGACTGGGTGGCCCCTGGAGATGCTTCTATTATTGTTGTTGTTGTTTGTTGTTGTTGTTGTTGCAAAGGCTGGATGGCCTCTGGAGTCTTCCACTGAAATACTGTTAAGTTTAGGTTGGTTAAAATTATTCTTTATTTTAAATATTGTATTATTATTTATTTCTTTGTTTTGCACTACAAATAAGATATATGCATAGGAATTAGTTCATTTTTTCAGTTAGTTCACACATTCTTCATACATCTGCCATTGGCCTGGCCCATCTGTCAAATTTTAAAATGCAATGCGGCCCCTGTGTCCAAAAGTGTATTGGGGCTCCATGAGAAATTTTTCCTTCAAAAAGGGCTCTGTAGATTCAAAAGTCTGAGAACCCCTGCTCTAGTCTAATACTTGCCAGGAGGAAATCTAGTGTTTATGCCTCGCTGTTTGTGATCTACAGTGGAAAAGTACTTGCTTGGAAAATCTGCCCATCAACTTCTACTCTTAGCATCAGAGTATTTTCAGGTGAAGACTCATACCAGTAATCAGAAGGCAAGATGCAATTATTCTGGGTTCCCCCCCCCCCCTCCTTAATGACTTTTCAATCAAAAAATGCAATAGAAAAACAAAGGAGTGTTATGAGTAGAAGAATGAAAATGTCTGAAACACTCATCAAATTTAGTGGATTCAACAGAACAATTACATGACGACAGGCTATCTGTAACCATCATCAAAGGAGTTACTACAATAATATGGTAATAAGAGGAGGCAGTGAAGACACTGGAAGGAGGAAATGTTGGCTTTGGTGTTTTGCCTAGAGCCTCCACCTCTACTCTTGACATCAATATATTTAGGACCAAGCTGTAGATGTTCTATTTTGAGCCCCTGAATGCCAAGACTGCAGGGCATTTGATCTACAGCCCTCATTAAAACCATGTGCTTTTTCTGTCACTAGGCATGATGATGCATACTGCTTAGCTAAATGCTCAAGAAAGCAAGTCCATGGAACTGCAGAATGACAAACAAATATTATTTTATATTTTTATTGTCTAGCCTGTTGACTGGGCAGTGTTTTTTTCTGTTTTCTTTTGGCTTTACAAGCAGTTTATTTTCCTTTCCCTTGTTCCTTTGCCCTAAGCTTGCTTTTCCCCAGATGGCCAAGCAGGAGACAAAATATTTTTATCTCAATAAAGTTAAATTAGATTGTTTTGGGGAAGAATGAAAGGTTAAGCATAAGTGAGGCAGCAGCAGTGCAGCTGAACTCAGGTATGGAATCAATGGCTTGAAAGCAGTTGATTCAAATTCTGAGATTCAAGGCATACAACTGGCAGCCACAGAGAATTAAATGGCAGATAGTGGAGTATGAAGCCGAAAATGTGAGGACCCATGGATATCGAGGGTCAAGGATCATGGGTCAAGGACCTGTGGATACCGAGGGATGCCTGTTGAGGTCTGATAACCACTAATGTTCCGAGACATAAATTGAGATCTCACCAGCATGAAGACAAATGACAGAAGCTTTATTCAAACTGTAGAAGGAACACTTGCCTGGCAATGGATGCTCAAAGTGTACAAGCATAAAGCAAAAACAAATACCCCCCCCACCCCTCCCCCCACAAAAAAACAAAGAAAGCAGGCATGTTTATACAAAAAGCTGCTGGAGAGGAAGCTCCCATCACAAGAGGAAAGCGTTGTCATTGTGGGGAGGCCCTGTGTTGGGGTGCAGGCCTTCCACAGGAAGCTCCCTTGCATCATCAGATGGGCAGCGAACCCATCAGTCATGGGGTGGAAATGTCCTAGGAAGCTAAAATCACCCCGTCTGATGAGGTGGTTAATGAAACAGAAAACCATATTTAATAAGCCTCAATACTATAAGAAGGTTTTGTGAGACCAGTCGCTCTTGTTGCAACGGTGTAGTAACAGTGAGACTGCGGACCTTATTTTAGTTCTTGTGGACCACTGGTGGTCCATGGACCACAGGTTGAGAACCACTGCTATAAAGTATTACATTATATGATAATAGCAGCAGGAACATTATACACCCAGTTCTGGAAGAAGGCAGACTTCCCAACAATAGAAGGGTGGATACTTAAAGTCTTTAAAATAGCAGAAATTGACAAATTAGCAATGATAACAAAGAAAAAAACACAAAAAACTTTATCAAGGACTGGGAACCATTTCTAACCTATGTAAAAAAAAAGAAGGAACAAAAAGTTTTATAGAAGGCTTAATAATTTAATCTGTTAGAATCTGTGTAGGGAATTTATAAATAATAAATATTAGGCCAGAAGGAAGAATAGCAAAACAATGTAATAGGAAGGAAGAATGGAAATATATTAATGTTTTCAACCCAAGGGACATGAAGTCACTAAATTGGGAGGGCTGGGAAAAGGGGAGAGCATAACCAACACAACTATTATATAGATGTTAGGAAGTTTTGGTTCATGCATATGTACATGTATATAGATTTGTTTCACTGTTTTTAATGAATATGCAAATTGAAAATAAAAACATATTAATCACAAAACAGCTCAGCTGGACGGTTCCTTGCAGATGCAATGGTGTCAGCAGGGAACGATTTCTCTGCTGCCTCCATTGCCACAGAGTAGGCTTTCTCCGCCAACGTCATTTTAGCTTCCATCTCACTTGCTTCATCACTGCCAACTTCTTGGAAAACCAGGGGGCTGGTTGGGCTCTGCTCCATTCAGGAGTGATTGTGTCCACTGCCCTGGCTATTTTCCCATTCCAGAGGTCCCGATGTCTCCATGTGATGGGGGAAGGAGGGAGGGTGTGCAGGTCGCTGCAAGCCATCACATGTGCCTTTCCTTCACCTTCTATTCATCGGTGAAACGGAACTGGGGGCCTATTAATGTGATGAGGTCCATAGATGGCAAAGAGGGAAGTGGTTTGTTCTGTTCAGTTCTTTTTGTACAATGAAGGACAGTGATTTGAACAACTTGGCTGAACTAGATGAATCTGTCCATAATTCTTTGAGATCGAAGACAAAGAAAGAAAGAAAGCAGACAGGAAAAGAAAGATCTTAAGTTCTTAATCTCTTTCCTTCTGAACAATTTAAGCCCCAGTGGACAAGATAATAATAGTGAGAATGATTAAGAGGCTCCAGCATCTTCCAACAACCATTGTCCCAGAGTAGGCACCATGGTCTGCTCTATAAGGGCACCTCCAGTTGTCCACGGTTTCTAAAGCTGATGTCAGCCAGCAACATGCATACATACATACATAAATGCATACATAAATGCATACATAAATGCATGCATGCATACATACTCATAACTTAACTTCCAGATAAAGCTTTTCCTCTGCAATCAGTTTGTTTCATTTCCAGAATTTTATGGTGGAGGGGCATCATTTCCTACTTCCAATTCTCCTAAATTCTCCTGCCTCTCCTTAAATCTCTTGCCTTCTCATTAAAAAAAAAATATGATGGAGAGAAATGTGGGATTAGCCCAGAGCTTTGAAGTAACACATTAAAGGTAATGCTATTATTTGTAACACATTGCTTCTTTGTGAATTTTTTGGGTTAATGTTGCTACTTACTGAAGTTTTAATTAGAACAGTGTTAGTGTTACAAATCTGGCATAACTAGTAATGCTTGCTTGTGCTTCTGAAATATTAATTTTGGAAGGAAACAGGGAGGGTTGGCCATGTGTGGACATTGTTAGTGTAATTTTTTAAATAAAGTTGAGAATTATACGTTAATTCTGCCTTATTTTACTAGCTGTTTGCAAGTATTATCAACAAGTAAAATTTTGCTTGCAAATATTAATGGAAAATGCCAGTAAAGATTCATGGATAGATAGTGCTAACAATGCAAGACATGTTGCAAAAGGTAAAGGTAAAGGTTTTCCCCTGTCATTAAGTCCAGTCGTGTCTGACTCTGGGTGGTGGTGCTCATCTCCATTTCTAAGCCGAAGAGCCGGCGTGGTCCATAGACACCTCCAAAGTCATGTGGCCAGCATGACTGCATGGAGCCCTGTTACCTTCCTGTTGGAGTTGTACCTATTGATCTACTCACATTTACATGTTTTCAAATTGCTAGGCTGGCAAATTGCTAGGTTGGCTAACAGCAGGAGCTCACCCTGCTCCCCAGATTCGAACTGCCAATCTTTCTGTTAGCAAGTTTAGCAGCTCAGTGGTTGAACCCGCTGTGCCACCGAGGACTCCTCAAGATATGCTGTGTCCTCCCCATATCTAAAGGGGTGTTTTAAAGAGAAGGATTCATCTCTGGGCTGCAGGCAGGGGCGGCTCAACTCATTACGCAAAGTAAGCATTTGCAGTATAGTTGATTTTGCCCAGGGGCGCTCTTGAGGCGCTCTTGGGGGAAAATAGACCTTGACATATGCGAGTTGTAGTTACTGGGATGTATAGTTCACCTACAATCAAAGAGCATTCTGAACTCCACCAATGATGGAATTGAACCAAATATGGCACACAGAACTCCCACGACGAACAGAAAATATATATCAGTGATTGGTTGGGGTGTGGGACGGAGGACAACATACTGTTTGCTTACCATTGAAAATTACCTAGGGCTGCCTCTGGCTGCAGGATATGTTAACAGGTAAGGAAGAACTGTTGAATGGAAGACTGCAGGGGTTGTTCACTATAACTGAGGAATAAAAAATAAAATAAAAAGAGAAACATTAGTGGCTAATGCGGCATGCCATGCGTTGTACTGGCCACTTAATTATGCTTGTCAGCATCATCCTATGTGCTAATTATAGCATGGAAATACATTCAGTCTGGCTTATGACAGATGCAGTTACCTTTGGAATTCAGGAGAGATTTAACTTAGAAACAAATCTCTAAACAATTAGTGTACCTTCTCCTACAAATTGTTAGTATGGTGATGGATGGAACCAAAGATAGCTGAAACAAGCAGATGCAACAGCAATCAGGGGAAGAGGAGGAGGAGATAAGAGGAGAGCTTAAAATCTTGTTAGAATTTGAAGAGAGTGTAACTGACAGGAACATGGAAGAGCCAGGAAAACAGGCTGACGTGTCTAAGGCTGATGATCTCCCGAGTACAGTATGTTCTAATCACTCTGAAGGGAAGGGGAAGCCTGGTCACTATTTTTAACACAAAATCCTTTCTTTGGTTTCAAGGGCAAGCTTCATGTTCCCTTCCCCCATCCCTTGCTTTTAAGGCCTTTTAAAAATAATAATAAAGAAGTTTTTTAAAGCCTTTGATACTGTGGACTGATTGCATTAAATTTAGTGTCATGTTTTTGTGACCCAAAACTGTACTTTGCCTCTGGCTGCGGTTATTAATAGTAAAATCTCTCCTGCCTAATGGTGCATAAGGGGCAACTTGCTTTTTTAGTGGGTTTTGAAAGGTCAGAATAGTTTTCCTTGCAATGACAACATCCTTATAGTTGAAGCTTTCAGCAACTCATTTGCTTTGCTTTTCAACATAAGAAGCCACTTCAAACTAAGGCAGACATTCATCCATCTGGGCCAAAACTGTCTATTCTGGGTTGCTGAAGGTTTTTTGGGCTGTATGGTTATGTTCTAGAAGCATTCTCTCCTGATGTTTCGCCTGCATCTGTTGCAGGCATCCTCAGAGGTTGTGAGGTCACAGTCCAAAAAACCCACAACAACCCAGTGATTCTGGCCATGAAAGCCTTCAACAATATTCTATCCCATTGTACAATTCTCAGCACTACTCTTTACCGGTAACCTGAGACTGACTCTCTATTAACTGGAAAAAAAACAGAGCAGCTTGTAAGTGTGTTCAACTACAACTTGCACCATTCTTCAGTAGCAGGTGAGCTGAGAGCTGACTGAGTGGTTAGACAGCCCATTGTTCAACACTGGCTCAGGGTGCCCCTTTTAATATGCTCCCACATTGCTTCATGCATAAATATCAAACACCAGCTCTGGGACATTTCTAAAAATAGGAAGGATTTCATTATGATCTTGTAGCACTTCAAAAATGCCCCTCTCCAACCAAGGTTATGGGATATGGAGTGGCAACCGAACTCCTCAACTGAACCTTAAACTATGCAGATCTCTGCCTTTTCACTGCTGTCTGTACTGTGTGCCATGTCCTGGTGATTTTAAGATAGAGTTGTAGTGCTGCAAGAAGGGGCCTCAAATACCCGTTTTTCCTCCATGTTTACTGCAGGACAATCCCTAACACTAGGCACAAAGAAGCAGTTGCCTCAAACAAGAATTCAGGTCTTTTTTAAAAAATAGGGAACTGTCAGCTATTTTATGTATTTTTATGTTCAGGGACAAAGCAAAAATGCTAGTGGGGTTTTCTGCCTTGTAAACCTGCATATTTCAGTTGGCTTGACTATGCAGGAAGGTGGAACTACATCCTGTTCTGTCTCAGGCAACAAAATGTCAGGTTGTTCTTGGTTGATTGTCAGCTGCAATAGGTTTAGTTGCCCTATTTATTATGTATTTACGACATTTATATGCTGTCCTTCTCACCCTGAAGGTGGCTCAGAGCAGCTTACAAGATATATATATATATATATATATATATATATATATATATATATATGCATACAATATATTATATTATTAGCATAGTACAATGTCAGTATTATATATTGCTATATTGTACTATACCATTATATTGTAATATTATTGGTAATATTACATGTAACATAAAACATATAATTATATTATTATTATTATTATTATTATTATTATTATTAGTATATTGTATTACAGGGAGCCCCCAGTGGCACAGTGGGTTAAAGTGCTGAGCTGGTGAGCTTGTTGACTGAAAGGTCGCAGGTTTGAATCTGGGGAGCGGTGTGAGCTTCCACTGTCAGCCCCAGCTTCTGCCAACCTAGCAGTTCGAAAACATGCAAATGTGAGTAGATCAATTGGTACCGTAACGGCGCTCCATGCAGTCATGCCGGCCACATGATCTTGGAGGTGTCTATGGACAACGCCGGCTCTTTGGCTTAGAAATTGAGATGAGCACTCTCCCCCAGAGTCGGACACGACTGGACTTCATGTCAGGGGAAAACCTTTACCTATATTGTTTTACATTATAATATTATAAATATTATATGTATATACAATATATTATATTACATTATATTTAGTTTTAAATTTAGTTACCCTACTTCAGGGAAGTGGCTTCCAATGCACGATGCTTAAGCAGCACTCCTTATCTTGCTGTAGATACCAGAATGGCCCCCTATTTTACACATATAACCATGTGATATTCATGTCAGAGCTTACTATAAAGTCAGCTGTGGCTTCCTGGATTACACAGCATGATATATAAAGTCCATAACTATATTAGCTCCTCATCACCATCTCAAGCAGCTACACTGGGCACCACTCAAGAACATGACATAACTAGTTCAAAATGGCAAGGCAGCTTAAAGAAACATCTGTTATTTTCAACAAAATTGAGCAATACGGCTGTGTAGCTTTGCAAAACTTCAGATATTAATTACGAGTGTCCCCACAGGAATGCTTCCAGGGGAACAGATTACTTATTTGATTATGAGTTTTTGAGAATGTTTATTCCTTAAATGTAAATTGTAGAGTTGATTTTTTTTCCTTTTGCTAATGAAGAATAATTAATGGGGTAAAGTATCACAATTCAGGTTATGTTTTATAAATGTTTAATGAAGAAAAGTTAGATTCCACTAACACGACTCATCATTTATTATTCAAAAGCAACCTAATGGACTCTGTTTGAATTAAGATGCATATACAGCAAGGAGGGGGAACTTCTTGGGCTCTCTCCCACCTTCTTTACTTCCAAATCAAAAAGTTCCAGATTTTGCTACTCCAATTTTCTTACACTGGGGTTGCCAAGTGAAAGGGGGCAGGGTTGTGTGGAATTTTAATATTCATAGGATTACTCAATGCTGAAAGGAAAAAAATATTCTGTTTTTTAATGTGTCCTTCCTCCCCTTTTACTGATTGGGAGGATAGGTAAGTAACTATAGCACATAGTAGACATGGAATGTCCTAAGAAAGGGAAGGGCTAAATCTGTTGATCAAAGAAAAGCCTTTTCCAGGAGTGAGAACTCAAAATTTTTTGCAGTACCCATCCCCTTTTAGTAGTCAGCCATTGTGGGTGTGCACAAATCACATGCGCCCTCTCCAGTGGAAACAGGTGGTTTCTGTGTCAATGTTGACCAACAAGGTCCGACAATTGGATAGCACTTTTGAAGTATAAACTATGACCCAGACTCATTACTCCACCCATGTGTATCCTGCCAGCTAACACTGGCTCCCTCCTACCCTTATAGCTTGCATTCATGTATTGGATACCTCTCATAAATGTCATTTTCTTCTGTGAAGAGGTAATGTATGAAATAAGCAATGTATCATATATATATATATTTAAAAATAAAGGAATGGTTTTAATGAGATATGTTGTGCCCCCATACATTTCATTATTACAGTTTATTATTGTGTTCATATCTCTTCTCAGTGATTAGTTTAAGCTCTGGTTTGCTCGTAAAACTGAATTACTGCATCACAAAATGATGCATGTCTAAAAACTGTATCACCAACATTAAATGTTTGGAAAGTTCTGTTGCAATTCCCATGTTATTAGCTTTTCTAAACTCTGAGTGAGATGATATGAAATTGTGTGACATTGAGGCAGGAAGATTAAGGTTTATAGTTTGGAGTGTTGTGGGCATATTTGTCTGCATTAGCCATCATAGACAACAATGAAGACTCATAGGAACAGCACTCCACAAATTCCTCATTCCTAAAAATAATGGGTATTTCAAAGAGAATCTGAAACTTTCTGGTTTTGAGGTAGGAGTTTCTATCTCTGTTGCTTCCTCCTGCCAAATATGCATGTGTGTATGTACACACCTTTGTTATCTCTAGAACAAACAAGTGCAGTTGTATATATTTAGGAATCTAATTTACAGTGGCAATAATGCACTGGAAAAACTAAATATTTAACAATTTCTTATGAATACTCCTGGTATATACAGTATTATCTTCCAATGTTTATTCTCCATGAGTGTATGGGATATGATAAATATGATGATTTCCATGCTGCATTATGCAAAGGTTTGCTACATTATTAAGTAACAACTATTTAATACTTCAGATTTTCAGAGGCTCCAGGAAGCCATAGCTCAAATTTAGCAGTATTTCTAAATCTTTCCAGTAGTGCCCATAGGCAAGAAGTTTCATAAACTGCTAACATCTTGGCTATGCTTTGGGAGAAAATATTTTTTAAAAGGATAAAGCAAAAAGTGTGGTAATTCTCTTGGGAGTTTGAGTTACATAACGCTTTGAGAAAACAAGACAATGCTCCCTGCCCTTCATGCTGCAGTTTTGCTTCAGTTTATGAAATGCTTGGTGAAAGGGAGAAATTTGAAACAGCAAGCAACCGCCATGCCTCTGCAACTTTAAAAGGTTTATTTTGGGCTTAGAGACATCTGGTCATGCTAGTTTAAGACTGCATGTGAGTGTTCACTTACAACAAACAGTACTGAGCTGTTGCTGATTTATGCTTTGGTATCGTGAAGATGATTCCAGACCCACAGCTCCTATAGCTTGCTCTTCACTGCCGTAATAGAGTTTCCTGTGGGTCTTTAGTCAGCCATGTAAAACTGTAACCCCAATACTAAAGCATTTTATATATTAGATGAAACTGTTTCCCCTTCAGTATATCTACCCAATAACATAATCTATCTTATTTTTTAATGTTCGGCTTCTGCTTAAACTAGGTGATGGGTGAGGCTTTTCTCCCTTTATTTGACATGGCTAGTCGTGTCCTCCTTCCACCACTATTTACTTTATTTGCTTACATAAGATAACTGTTCTTTCTTTGGAATTCAAAACTGACATTTCAGGTTGTTTCTCAGATTATGAGTAGTGATATCAACAGTGTCAGGAATCCTAGGTGAATATTTCACTCCAGCTCACATATGGAAAAATTTGGATGGTTCTACTAGCTCTGCAGCACTAGAGGTGAAAGTACTTACTGGAGTTCTACCATGCCTCTCTTGCCAGGCTGAATG